TATGTTATTTCTAATCAGTAGGCTGGGTTGAGTTTAAAACTCCTTCCTTCTTGCTTCGTTTAGCTTGGTAGTCCTACTAGAATTAAGAATATGGGTATAAATGTGATTATGATTTCTTAATTGAAGAATCGATCTTTTTGTTTGAACAGAGTGGCTCATGTTGTACCCATACGCTGATGAACTCAAAATGACACAGCTTTAAACCTAAAGCTTTAAATGGAAGTACTATATTTGATCTTGCCTGTAAACTGGCCTGCCTCATGTAAAAAACTGTTATTTGAGAATAAATTATTATTATTATATTTAGAATTTAAAGTGACCTTAATAACTTACCTATTTGGAATGAGAAATGGCAGTTACCATTTAACCACAGCAAGTGTGGGATCGTGCATTTTAGGAATTATTTCCATGGAATACTAATTTACTTAAACAGATGTCGAGTTCAGTCGCTCAATTCAGTGCACGATCTAATTATTGAATACACAATACAACGGACTACTATTGCCGTTCATATCTGTATAACCAAATGATAAAACACATGGTTTCCCTCCCCCATTATTCATTATTAGTTGAACCCTTATGCTCTAGCCATTTACATCAAGATTCTGAGTTTCTCTAATGTCTAAAGTTGCATAGTGTTTTTCCGTGAAGCCTCATATCCGATTTCGATTTCTATTTCAATTAGACAGAACACTCATAAACCTGATGGGTGCTGCCCAACTTTGGTCAATCATAAGAAGCTCACAATGTCCTAAATCGTTATGAGTTGTGATGTGAACCGGAAAACAAGAAGCCCTGACAAATTACGAAGGCTATTTTTCGGGACGTTATTTCATTTTATTCAAAGCTTGTAAAACACCGACATCTATTTTTGTCCTTAATCTATTCTAAAGAACATAAGCTTTCGTTCGATGTATCATTCACTGCCATACCTCTTTCTGTTCCGAAGCTATTGTAATTTAAACATATTATTTTGCACCCTATTTTCTACTATAATTCCCAGCTTTGGACATAACTGTATTTTTCCTAATTATTGTACGTTGCGGTCGGGTTATTCACTTATTTATTCATGTACCTTTTTACACTAATCTGGAATTCAGTGAATTACAGTGAAGTCAGGAATAGATCGAATAGTGTTCCGATTGTCTTGTCTTCTCTCATTCGTGTGCTTGCCCACCAATCAGGTGACAGAATAGTTTTCTTCTCTCTACCCCATCCCGAACTCACACGTACTAGTCTCAAGGTTAAGCCGATCAGCCTATCGCATCAAGGTCGAAATCTAGATTAGACAAGTATCCTCGGCGCCAAAAGTGGGTAGACAAACCAAGGTCATAACAAGTTGATTCTAGTTCATTTCCTATCATTTAAAAAATTCTTTAATAACATACATATGGTTGGTTTTCAAACTCTTCAATTTCGTAAATCTAAACTCTTCCCTCATATTCTTTGATCATCTATCTGTCCTTATCATCTCCAAACGACATACATATGACCAGTATCTGATAACTTAGACCATTAGTTAACTTCATAGTAGTGTGATATTCTAAATGGTTACATAACCCACCATACAAAAGCTTTAGGTCTCTGATTCGCATCAGCGTGGAATTAGTGGAGTTTGGATTAAAGCAATATTCATGCATACCACAAACGTAAGAGAGCCTTACATTGCAAAAGCGGGAGGTGGCTTTATTGACCAACAAACATGATGGTGGGGAAACGACCTCAATCTACCTATTTGTGTAAGGTAGAACATCTTGGTTAATTACGGCCCCTTATTGTCTGGCGGTATTTACTAACCAATCGTATAGATGCTAATTTCCTACGCCAAATACCTCTTTGACTCATGCCTGGAAACTGGGATCGCTTTCACTTCCTACCAAGAATTCCTACTGCAAGCAAAACTGGACAACTACGCTAAATAAGAGTCCACTCGTGACTGCAAAAGTTGTGGTAATAAGAACGAACTATAATAATTTCGACGAAAAAACGACATTCGCCTATCTGAAAGCTGTGTTTTCCTTTGGTTTATTTTCCCGCCCAACAACTTAGATCCCCATGGCTCTTCGGGTAGGAAAGAGCTATGGAAAGTTAGTGTTACTGAAGACGGAAGAATATATGTATAAAGGGATTACGATATCACTAGCATGGGCAATTGATCCACACTACATAGCGGAGATGTATTTTTATTGGCCTGCACTTCTCTTTTACCGCCACTTCTGGAAGCTTTCATGTAAACCAAAAGCACTGGCAAGCTTCTTGTAAGTTCACCAGTGGGAAAACATGAAAACTACCTCTAGGTATGCTTCATATGCATTTATTCAAGTGCGGGTATCAAAGATATGCGTGTTGGCACAGGTGAGCGCAGTTATTAGTATGCTTTACATGCAATTATAGAAGAAATAAACAAGTCCACATGCCCCATAATTACATATAGGCATAGGAGTTTACGCACTCTAGTATACATACTAGATTCACACTGACTCCCAAGAGAATGGAAGCAAGCAACGCCCTCTCAATCATTCAGAGTACGAGATAGAAAGGCCCTTGTCAGATTACTTCCAATAGTGTAGAAGATTTTGGAGGTACTAGTTAATGAACGGATAAGGGCGTACATGAGCAAAAACAACAACAGAATGTTTCATACTAAGGTAAATAGGATGCACTCGAGTTGGAGAGTCTCAGCTCCAGGGGTTTTGCAAGAAACAATTTTAGGTTCAATCCTGTTCTTTTCTTTATTAATGACCTGTAAGGTACAACTTGCTATATACTGGTGAAGTAAAGATCTCAGGGTCCATAAATAAGGAATTGATTTGAGCTTCACGAGAATCGTATAACAGTAAAGAAATGAACGGTAGACCAGAAGTTAGAACAACCTGTCGAAATATCTGATCATGAACATTCTGCTTCATTTGACTCGATCGTCTCCTCAAAGCGTGGTCTCGGATGAGTAACCATGGAGAGCTTATACATTAGTTCAAACCACATAGAGGATGCAGACGAAGTAAGCGCAACTGTTCATTCGAAAGAATACGCATCAGAGAGCGAACGCCCAGGTTGAATGACTAGACTACCACTCATGGGACATATTTAAATTCGTGAGACTGTGTCGTAAAAATAAGGAGTAAGCGCAAAAATATCAGTCGGTTAATACAAGCTGGTGAAAAAGATGTCGGACATTGGACTTAAGTTTGACGGTTGATCAGAGTAATTTCAGAGACAAGATTAAATATATTTTTATTCAGAACAAACTATGACTTCACAAACACTTATTCTAATGTCATATCTTACTGCAACAATAAGTTATTTTTCCCATTTAGTTTTTATTTTATTTCTGCTACTCATTTGCAGATACATACATGGTCGTTTATTGTTGTTTTATGTTCATAAACACGCTTTTACGTACTTCACGTCTCCTTTATTTCTATTACCTTATTTTCTCCTATTCCTTCTTTAAAGTCAACTCAATATTCTTCTCAATTACACAGATCTGATTTATTAGTAATCTATTGTCACTACTGTCTTTTTTTCTCATTTTCAAATGTGTCAAATATAATGCTAACATTATTGAAACTTGTGCATCATTGCATTTTTGAAGTAGGCCGAAATGGTTTCTTCGCAACACATATGTACCAATAAAATTTTTGTGAATAATAATATTATTGAGGAATTTAATGAAATGATAAAGGTCCATTACATTTTGCGAGTTACCAGGGTCTTATTTACTGATAATGGGGCCCATAAACTGAAACGTATGACTGTGACATCAAAGGGTCCATTCCAATCCACCTGTTGCAGAGCTAACTGACTTCATTCAGACGTCAGCCAAGAGAAATTTAAAGTAACGCCTGAAAAAAGTGAACAAGTTAGCAACTATGAACTTGTGGCGGGGTAAAACAATGAACAAGAAATAGTGAAAAAATTATTAAGCAAAGCGTAGAGTCATTTATGATATGCCGAAATACACATGCAACGGTAGATAAATCGCCACAACAAATAGTTTTATATGCCTTTGACTTTGAAGCTGACCTCATTACTTTTGCCGACTGAAGGCTCTCGGTAATCATCCTCACAATGACACCATTAAGAATACAGTTTTACACCACCCTCTCAACATCTAGTCAAGTTAGATATTTAGGAAGCATCGACTGCTTATCAAACATATGGTTGGATTCTTTTATTTTCAAAATAAGATTTGACTGTGTTGGGAACCTCGATTGTAATGGTGTTACGGACAAAAGAGTTAGGAGGCCCGGAATATCCGTGACATCTTTAAAAGAAATAGGATTTCATGAATTCTAGGAGCATAAGAAGGTATATGATCGTGATTTATCATAGCTGTCAAAAATCCTCTTCGAAATAACATGTTTTATGGGTAAGTTATATCTGAAGAATTGAAGACGCCACAGATATTCGGAGTTTCACAACGCTTTAACCAGTAACATCTTCTAATGTGAAGTATACACACCAAGTGAAATCAAAAGACAGAAGTGAGGAGGTTCGAAGATAAAACTGATAGGCTATCAATATATCGAGGATCGTCTGAACTAATCTGGCTAGCGATTGCAGTAGATGTTGAGCATGACGTTTTCACACGTGATCCAGCAAGGACGCATGACCGAGAGCCTTCAGGTAGATGAGTCCATTAAAACAAATATTGTCAGCATCGAATGTCGAAAACTTACAGAGCTATATATTTCGTTTGTTTCGTGGTAGAACAACAAAGACGCAACACATAATCAAGTGATCACAGTTTTTGTGATCATGGTCTGAAAGTTGTATAATTCCCTCCAAAAATATATTATCAAGATTTTCCAATGATCCAGTCAAATTTAAGCTGAGAGTTATATTCCACTTCCAACGGTATTAAGGAATATTGTTTTCTGCACGTTCTTTCACTTCTACAATTCATTATCGTGGTACAGATGAAAATTTTAAGAATTTTACGTTTGTGCATTTCACACTTTTGAGTACAAATGTGGATTTTGTTTAAATGTGCCATCACAACTGTACTTTTTAGGAATGTCTTTTTGAAATCATTTTCTATTTCAGGTCAAAATAATGATCTAATTTGAGAATGATAGCATATTATAGTCTGATTATACTGGTTCTTTTAAATCGATCAAATTGTTTAGAATTTACTATCGGCGCATTATTAAGTGATGATGAGGTTATTTCTAGTTTTAAAAGGATGGTTTCATCTGTCAGAGATAGCGTTTATGATGATGCAGTTACTTTCAAAGCTGCTGGAGAGGTACTTCATCATTCATTTTAATTTTTAAGACTCTTGCTCTAAATGCTCTTAAAGCAACAAACCAGGTCTGTAACCTGTTCAATTCTTCTGAGGGTCGAATGTTTGCTCTAATAATCTCCCATCCAAATGGAGCACCTGGATCTGCACCTTTATCCGTATCATTTACCTGTGCTTTTTATCACCTACCGGTTATTGGAGTTAGTGCAAGACATTCAATCTTCAGTGACAAGTACAGCCATGGTAGCTTTCTTCGTACAGTTCCACCGTACAGCAATGAAGCATCTGTTTGGGTTGATTTAATAAAATCGTTTGGTTGGCGCGAAGTCTGTGTAATTCACTCAGATGACCATGATGCCAAAAAAGTGTTATCCTATTTGGAGTCTGCTTCTCAGAGAGGAATAGACTTCAAGGTTAGTCAATAGTCATTTCTTTAGTGGTTTATCCTTGAATTAATATGGAGCTGAACTCTCACCTCATTAAATCTTGATGCAAAAATATAGAATATTTGAAACATTTTAAGTCCGACTGCAGGCTTCTTCTCTTCAGACTTCAAAACTTACAGAAAGCCTCTACTGGTTAATGGCGGTCTTTTTCGTGCTACATAAACATAGACTGTCACAGTTTAGTTCTCCTTCGTCTTATTTTGGAGTTAAAAAAGACTCGTTTCATAACAAAAGATCCCTTAAAACACCATCGAAAATAACCATAAGGAAGAAGGAAAATTGTTTGATTTTCATTACTTGTTCTAATAGCTTAGTTTCTACTGTTAGCTTTGTTTCCTTTGGTAAGTTAAAGTAATTTTTTGGAAAATTTGGCCTTTAGTGTTGTTAGAGTTTTAAAGCCTGGTAATTTGTTTGGTAAGAGCTTTTGATTTGGACATTGATCATTCGGGATGACTGTCTTTACTAATCACAAGTAACAGTCAGGTACTTAATTTGTTTGGTTTTCATGTATAAATAGAAATCATCATAAGGCGTTAATTATCGAACCTTCATTGCGATAGTGAATAACATAATCCGAAGTTTCATGTGAAAACATGAAAAAGTTAAGTTGCATGGATGTATCAAGACCTACATTCATATAATATTTTCATTTTGAAATCAGAATCAGATTCAGATTTGTAAAGTAAGGACAGAAGGCCTATGGCCTATGTTACTGCTTTTCTAGTATGCTTCTGTGAGTGTCCAGACTTCTCTTGAACGAGTCAATTGAGGGTGCGGACACCACTACTTCGGGCAGCAGGTTCCAAGCATTGATGACTCGGTGTGAGAACCTGTATGCCACGGGTATTTTGTTCGTTCTTGGCTTTTCTACTCGCCTGTCATGTCCTCTGAGATGTCCCGATCTAGTGGGAAGAAAAAGAGAGAGTAAGTTCAAAATCATTTTTCAGTATTCTGTACATCAAAATTAGATCTCCCCTTAATCTGCGATAGGACAGAGTAAAAAGGTCCAGCTTTTCAAGCCGCTCTTTGTATGGTAAACCCCGGAGTTCCGGAATTGCACGGGTAGCTGCCCTTTGTACTTTTCTAGGATATGCGAGTCACATTTTAAACACGGGCTTGCAGCCTGAACGCAGTTCTCAAGCTTAGTTCCCACTGAGGATGCGTATACCTTGGTGAACATGGTAGTATCTAGCTTAGTGAATGTTCGTTTTAATGCCCAGAGGGTTCGAAACCCCTTGGCTGCGACCTCCTGGCAATGGGTTGCCGTCTTAAGATCCTGGCTCACTGTCACCCCTAGATCCGTATGAGACCGAACCACGGGTAGTTGCACTTCCCCTATGTTATATCTATTAACATTTGAGTCCCCGAAGTGCATGTAGACACACTTTGCCGCGGTGATAGGCATCAGCCACTCTTTAGACCAGTTAATTATATTACTTAGGTCTGCTTGAAAAGCATCTGAGTCTGTGTCTCCAGTTATTACTCGCCAGATCTTTACATCGTCAGCGTATAATAACATTGGAGACTGTACTTTACTTGGAAGATCATTTACATACAGTATAAAAAGTAAAGGACCTAGGACGGAACCTTGAGGTACTCCACTAAGTACTGGTCTCCATATGGAGCACTTGGAATTTATTCTTACCTTCTGTCTACGACCTACTAGGAAATCCTTAATCCATTTTAAAAGGGGTCCAGCAATACCAAGGTTTTCCAACTTCAATAAGAGTCTATTTGTTGGCACCTTGTCAAAAGCCTTACTGAAGTCTATGTAGACAAAATCCACTGAGTTTCCGTTGTCTAGCTCCTTTATCCAGAATTCCCTTGCTAAAAAGAGGTTTATTGTACAGGATAGACCCTTTCTAAAACCATGTTGTTCTATGTTTAACAAGTTATTTGTTTCAATAAATTTCATTATTGTCCTTTTGACTATTCTTTCCAATATTTTAACTACAACGCTGGTGAGGCTTGCAGGCCTGTAGTTCGATGGAAGTTGTCTTGGTCCTGTTTTATGTATGGGAGTACCGATTGCGTCCTTCCAGTCCATAGGTAATACACCTTGATTAAGTGACATATTGAATATCACAGTCAGTGGGGCCGCGATATATTGTGCCATATGTCTCAATATTTTAGGATGTAGTTCATCTGGTCCTGTTGACTTTTCCATGTTTAAGGTGCTAAGAACCTTAAGCACATCGTCTTGGTCAAAGTCCACGGTGAGCAGGTGGTTTATTGACTATTTGTTTTGGTCTGGTTTTTTGTCCAAAGGAGGTTCCTGAGCGAAAACTGCCCCAAAGTAGTCAGCCATAGCCTCTGCTTTGTCCTGATCTTCCTCTATCATTTCAGATTCACTCCCTTCTTTAATTAGATTTGGAATCCAATGATGCATCCTTGTTCTGTAGTTTATGTACGAGAATATTCTCTTGGGCTGCTTGACTGCTGATTGTGCCAACTGCATTTCATATTTTCTTTGAGCTTCTCGAATTTTTGTTATACACTTGTTTCTTACCGATCTGTAGTGTTCCATCGTACCTTCTGTGCCAAGGCGGATGGCGACATCCCAACATTTCTTCTTTTGTCTTAGTAAACGTCGAATATCCCTGCCTATCCAGGGATGTCCGTGTTTCTTCTTCTTTGGGACTGTCCATGGTATGTATGGTTGAGTTACCCGGTTGTATAACTGCCTGAAATGCGTCCATGCCTCTTGTACTGATGCTCCTGGGTCAGTTTCCCAGTTTTCAGCCGATGCTGCGGAGTTGATGGCCTCCATATCTGCCTTCCATATGTTAGGACGCGCCGGCGCAACTGTTTGACAGGCAATCTCAGTCACGAATTGGAATAAAATGACTGCATGGTCGCTTTTCCCTAGCGCTGGGAGGAAAGTCATTTGACCAACGTCATCACCGTGTGTGAAGACTAAATCTAAAAGAGAGGAGTTTCTTAAGGCATATCTTGTGGGAGTTCTAATATGTTGGAACAAAGCTAATGCAATCGATGTTTCTAACAGTTTGAAATCGAATGACGTTAGCGATGACCCGACTTCTAAGTTTACCCAGTTTATATACGGTGCGTTAAAGTCGCCTACTACAAGGCTTTTACCCTTGTTACACCAGGACTTAAGTTTACTTAGGAGAAAATCATCTACCACGCATTCTGGACTGCGATATACTACAACTAATTCAATGTCTTGCCGTCTACACTTCAGCCTACATCGCACCAATTCACATGTTCCTGAAACATGTGCCACTTTCTCAGCTACTCTTATAGTTAAGGTATTTTCGTGTACAGGATAACCCCGCCTCCCCTACGATTTAATCTATCAGCCCTACTGGATAAAGAACCAGCTAAGTGAATTTCATTATCTAATATTTCCGGAGTTGACCAAGTTTCTGAAACAGCAATAACATCCGGTTTCTCTTTATCCACCATTGACTTAAGCTCCGTCATTTTATTTAGTAGGCTGCGAGCATTTGTGTAGCATACCTTTAAGTCTGTGGAGAACTTTCCATTACCACCCAGAGTGGTTTGGGGATCGTTTCGCTCCGAACTTTGACAATTTGAAAACCCTTAACAATGAGGTTTCTTTCGCCGTTTCGGCGACGCTCATTTATTTCCACTTCTGCAGCTCGTCTCTTAATACGATCAGCTAAGCTGAGATACTCCCGGGCATATATTCCGGATCCAATCAGTTTACGTGAGTTGCCTAAAATCAGGTTCCTTTCTTCAACCGTGGCAAATGTTACCTTCAAGAGGCGATTTATCTGAGGGCTTTCAGAATCCACCTTTCGTCCTATTCTATAAAGCTTACAAATGCTAACTCCTGAAACTGTATCTAGGAGTAGTTTGCTTATTAAGGACTTAATGTGACTGAGGTCGTGTTCGAATCTAGCCTTTGGTTCCTTATCGGAAGATTCTCTTAACTTATGAAACATGACTGACCTCTCAGAGAGATCTGTCTTGACACTCAGTGGAATTCTTGTTTCTGATACCGTCTCTTCCAATGACTTGCTAACCATCTGCGGTTTGCCTACAGCTTTTTTCTTCTCATTTCTCTTTCTCCGTGCTGGAGTCCATTTATCCTCACTCAGGACAGCCACACTGGGATTATTTGAAACGATGACAGTGTTATCCGGGTCTTCAATTTCCACTAAAGGTGTATGATTTTCAATGTCAATATTTAGCGGCACTTCACTCCTTGTTAATGTTAACGGTGTTTTTACTTTTCCATCAATCACAATCGGGTGTTTAACGTGTCCGGTAGCAGCACTTACTACACTGACACATTCTTCACTGTCAGTGCTCGTGGTGTCAGGACAACCGGCATCGTTTTTCTTACAGGCCAAAGCCAATAGGCTCATAGCCTCCTGGATTAATAAATTTTTATTTGTACAGCAAAACATACAAAGCCAATGCGAGTTTGGCTTCGAGCATCTTTTGTATGCCGTAGGACTTAGACGGGTACACATCTTATGGTACCACTTTTTACATTCACCGCACTGCATTCCTTCCTCAACGGGGAACAAGCAGTTCGGTTGTCCACATTTATAAGTCTTACTAACCATTGTAATTTGATTTAAAACTTTTAAAACCCGCTATGATCACAACGTGAACACGAGTGTCAGTCAATGAGTAAGCAAGAAGGCACCACAAGACAAAGTTTAGAAAAAATCTCAAACTATGACCAAAGTACTTTTAGTTAAAGTAGACCAAGAATGCTTTCTGTTTCCACTAGTACACAAAGCAATGATAATCACAACTAGTACAAAAATCACTCCCCTTTTTGAAACGAGCGCGTGAAATCTCATGTTGCGTAAATGTAGACCAGAAGAAACAGTAATATATTATCCAGTGATGTGTTTACTTGTGTGTTGTGTTCATGCCACATCAATTGATTCGATATTTCAATTCTCGCTTAACCTTCTTAAACCCAAATAAAATATGGATGCCTTCACGTAAATTGTCTGTCTTCAATTAAATGCATCTGAAAAACTAGTAGCACCGAGCCCATCGATGAAGCTACAGTTAGAGCCATTTAGTTATTGAGTAATGTTTAGTCATTGACAAGCCTACATATAACCTAAATATGCATCGTAGGTCGTAAGAGTATAAAGGGAAGCATTTGTTAGAATTTTTAAACTAAAGAAATAAAAGGAGTCGTGAGCTGATGACTCAACAGGATAACGTAAGGCGTTTACATTTAAGTAAGTTACGGGACTTAATAAATACACAGACGTTAAACTACTGCAGTTTAGTATGTTAAACTATAGCTTAATAGCATTAACGTTTTGAAAGTATGATTGATTGGTTATTTATTCGTGATTATGTCAATTCTGAACTGAAGTTTTACCTATGCTAGATATCTTCATCATCCGACCCTCCGTTTTTCCGAACCAGGTTCTCCTAATATTCTGTGTTATTATGATTATCTTAAGTCTTTGAACACGATAATCAGTCAAAATTTTGAAAATATTTTTGATTTTAAGAATAAAACCAAAAGGGTAACACTAACTTGTCATGATTCAATTTACATTAAGGCAAAACTTTCTTTATGACTGACGTAAGTTACTTGGGGTGACTGGCATATTAAAAGTATCAAAGTCCGACTGAAATCCTTGTCAACGCACTTACATTTTAGAATTTAGGTCAAAGTTCAGAAGAAATTACTACAATTATGATAAGATATTTTTACTAAACTATTTCAGTTCATTTAGTTTTTGGTTTATCTGCCACTTCTGTGGTGATCAATCTACTAAACCTATTAGTCGCCTCTTTCAATAATGTCGAAAAATTAAAGCTTTGTGTTTTCGTTTGGCTAAATCACAAATTTTACAAGCATTCTTCACCCTTTCCATAATATTTTAACTAACTATAATGACACCATTGTTTATTTAAGTTTAGCTGACGTTTTGAATTTATGGACAGAAGTGTTATCATTTTTGATTAAAGAGTTAGATTACTGCACAAAAAAACTGGATTTGTAAAAGATTTTATTCAAAAAGTAAGCGCCTTATGTGGGTTTTACTTTTCATTCACATTTTTTAGTTGGTCTAGCTAGCGTTAGAAACCAATACTACAACTGTAAATATTTATTTTTTTAATGTATATAGTATCAAATTTCATATACAAACCACGGGAAAAGACTGAAATTTTATTTCTTAGATTGAGTCATATACCTTCTTTCATATGACCTAGATAAAATGGTTAAAGAATTAGTGTGCGGGGATTTAGGTACTAACCACTATCACTTTCGTCATCTCTAGAGATTATGTGATTCTTTAATATTACTGAGTCCAAGGAAACAAAATTTGTTATAAGCATTACATACTGTAGTTTAATACAAAATATTTTATATTTCTGAGTGCTTTTTAGTCTCCTTGAATGCTTGCTACTCTATAATGTGAAGGTTGTTCTGTTAAATACTTTCAAAGATTACTCGTCAAGTTGCTATCAATACAGATGAAGAGGATGCTGCTCAAATGAAGGATTTCATCAGTCTCTTGCAACCGGTTCGAAACGAACAAACACGAGTCATTTTGCTATTTTTACGCCGCAAGTTTGCAGAGTATGTGTTCTTGGCCGCACGTAAACTGGGCATGCTGGAAGCAGAATGGGCTTGGATTGTTACGGAACAGGCTTTGGATGCTTCAAATATACCAAATGGTAAGTTAATAATTATTTTGACTTTGTTTAATGAAAATTTTAAAAAGATGTGTTTTGCGAAAATAATTCAAGAAGCTTTAAAAAAGAGTCGTTAACAAAATTCTGATGGACCTGTTGTTTTCACTCGAAATTCAACTGGATATTATTTCGCAGTGATTTTTAACAACTTGTCATTTATTACTTATGAGTAGTCACATCACTTTTACTATAATTATACCGTTTCACCGTTTTCTATGGTAAGGAAAATACTAAGCAAGAGAACATTACAATATCCAACGTGTAATTACTAGTTTTAAATCATTCGATCATAGTAAAATTAGAACCTATCATATACGTGGATCAATCAGAGTTGCTGTAAGTCTTTTCTACACAGCCAGAGATAAAACGTGCAGGAGTAAAAATTATACTAAAGCAACCGGATTGATAACTACGAGTGAAACGGAGAATTGAGCGGAATGAAGTTGAGTTCGAAAATAAATATATAGAACAAGATAAATTCCAAGTGAGCTTATCGTAATGAAGATGATTTTCAACGGTGTCACCTAAAGTTCTAAAGCACTAACATATCACTCACACTTCAGGTATAAAGTCAGTATTTCTTCAAATATTCAACCGAAATCACGGGTTGATACCGGATACTCTCAGTAAACCCTATTAATTGAGTACTTTTTATCTAGGTGAAATTCACTTTGGACTACTATCTCTCTCAAAATTTTAGACTAAGAAATTTTCATGCTACCAAAAATAGTAGGGTTTAAAATATAAATGCTTACATTTGCCATTGTTTGATATTTTCAGAGATTTTTTTATATTTTACATAACAACCCCTTGTTAAGGTGTGATTGGTGTCCGGTTACTTCAAGTTACCGAACTAGATCACGTTGCCGATGCAGTCAGAATCGCCACACAGAGCATTCTTCATTTAGTTCGTACTGATTATGATGCAATGAAGCATCTTTACGCAGTTAAAGCATGTAGTGATAATCCTTCAGAAATTCAGTCAAAATCAAAGCTACCTGGTAAATCGACTTATATGTGGAAGGATTACGCAACCAAACTTTTCCGGTGAGTTAAGCTGGTAAGACAGTATTACGAGATTTCTCGCTATGCGATTTCAAATCTTTAAAATGTAAAACAAAGGATTGCTTTAAATAAATAATATATTTGTAATATCCCAATGAGTAGAAAAATTAGATTTTCTGACGTTTCGTGACTTAGTGTAGATCACTTCTTCAGCGAATAAATAACTTGGATTAGTTTTAATTTGGTTATTTATTCTCTGAAGAAGTGACTTACACTAAGTCACGAAACGTCAGAAAATCTAATTTTTCTACTCATTGAGATATTACAAATATATTATTTATTTATAACAATCTACCCGATGCTCAATTTATTCGAAATTATCGAATCAAATCTTGGTAATGATACCTACAAAGGATTGCTTTGGAACTGAATCGTTTTTGTTTCATAAAAATTTTCATTCGACACCAAATTCTACTTAAATGAAATACTTTTAGTACTCAATTTAGCATAAGTTTTCAACTCAACTGTATTTTTTGGTTTGATTATCACAAACTGTTTATTAGTATTGTATTTCAAATGTTCACCTTTTAGTTTTAAGCAACATTGATGAATAATTTGAAATGAATAATTGGATGTGATATCTACTCAACGGCGTAGTCTATTTTGCTTGACAATTTAAATAATTAGAAGCAAATTTTTTAAATTATCGATAGAGCTTTCAACCATTGAATGCAAAGATCACATGGAGATGTAATTTCCAACTCAGTAAAATTTAATTCAATAATCAATCATCATTCTATCTACAATATACTGGAAATGTCATCTGTCATCTTTAATCTAAAGAGAAAACTTTATTTTGTCAATAATATTTCATTAGATTTGTTGGTAAATTTTATTACACACTAATTTTAATGGGAGAAATATTGAAACATTGGTATATGAAACTGCCTTTAGATTGTAGGAACACTTCATCAAACCAATCAGCCTTCAGCTACGAATAAAAATTAATAAATTCAGAAAATATTATCGAATAATATTTTTCTTCTGAATAACTAAATAAAGGCTCAATAAAATGAATGTCTTTACAAAGATAAGAAAATCATCGAACGGTTGTCCGCCATATTTGGAGTGAAACAGATTCACAATAGGACAGAACGTTTTTAAGGTTTGTGGATATTACTTATTTTGAGAATGTTGGAGAGTTATTACTGAACATAAGGTGCGTTTTATATCCGACCTCTGACGCTGGAGATATGAAGTGTGGTAGCTATGTAAATTGGTAATATGTTTTTGGTCTATGTACCAATGAAAAGAAAGACTAAACATTCACTAAGTTATTTAGATTAGAAAAAAAATCGCTAAAGAACAAAGAAATATTGTAATGAGTGACGTTTTTTTACTCACTCAGCTATATACAACGTGTAACCTTTAACATTTGTGTACTAGTTCAAGTTGCCATATAAAGTCATCCACACAAAATGAAATTATCAGGACAAATGCTAAAACAGAAGTAGTAGAAAAGGTCAGGTATAGATGGTTATTTCGAGAAAAATGAATTCATGGCGGAGCAAAGATGTGTAAGATAATTTGAACCCTAAGGTCTAAGGGAAGTTGAGGAATGAATGCATCACCATAGATCAAGTGGAGATTTTTAAATATCTTTGTATTTCACTTTCAGAGACATGTTAGCAATGAATTTAACTGATGGTCGAACTGGGCATTTGGAATTTAATGAATATGGTGATCGTATTAAACCAATTTATGATATTGTAAATGCTCAAATAACTAATCAGGATATAAATAATTTATCTGCACAAAAATCATTTGAGTTTGAACGGCCAACATTAGTTTCAGTTGGAAGTTACGGTGTACATCAAGTATATACGCATATTTATATGATGAACGATTCGTTACAGTTTACATTTTCTGTGTTATATTTTAAAAAACCTTTCCCATTTATAAATTGACTGTTATATTTAAGCGGTTCGTTATCAACCTACTATGACATATTTTATTTTACAAACATACGGAAAGTATGTTGAAGGTGTTATGGTCTTTGAGCGGAATGGTTTAATTGTGAAACTTTGATTGCTCTTCTAAACAACGTATTTCCCTTTGACGCACGTATTGGTGACATTGATCAGAAGAGCAATGAAAGCTTCCAATTAAATTGTTTAGCTCAGAGACCACAAAACGCCCAACATCCTCATCCTGAGCTAAAAATGTTCTCCATAACCTCAGAACAAAAGTGATTTTCGTAAAAAAAGAAGGATTTATTCTGAAGGACGTTTAGAAACTAGGTTGTAATTAGTAGGTGTTTCATCGTAGTTTTTACTCCAATGACGAATATTTGGAAGTTTTTGAAAAAATATTCTGCACACAACTGTCTGGAATTTTTAATTTTTGTCTCACAGTAATTATTTAACAAGAATAAATAAAGAAACGTAAGTCCCTTTGTACGTCTTTGGCTAGTCGACAGGTTCAACATCAAAATTGCGAACGTGACTGGATTTCATCCTCATCCGTGTTTCTTCGTATAACATTTAGAAAAAAAAGTAAAGCAATCGCTGATTCCATATTTAAGTATCTCGCCGACTCCAGTCACACTTGACCCCACTCCTCAGAAATATCCTTTAAAAACTATATACGCGATCAAATGACTGGGTTGAAAGGTAGCCAAAACCGCTAACTTGTATATGACAGTAGCGTTAACAATTCAACCCTTCTAACCTGAACTTAGAGAGCAAGATCTAATTTTACTATGAACCTGACACTTGGTTTTTCATACACCGTAAACTAGCTGTTTATACTTTATTTTGACATTTTTAAATTTTAATTATTTGTTACTTGCATTTCCTCGTCTTGTTTTCGTCTTCACCTTTATCAAATACTAACATACTTTTTAAATAATTATATATACTACTGAACCGTTTAAATCGATTAAATTGTTGAAAAAATCCTCTTCCCAGAAATGCTTTTAATTTCTCCCCTATTACATCATCGGTTTAATTTGTTCTTTATTGTTAAATTGTTCTAATGAAAAAAGTAATATTATTCAGTAAAATAAACTTATTTTTCAGATATATTTGTTGATTGTTTCTAGATAGTTGAAAATGGTTATTGTTAGTTGATAAAAAATCTCGTTAGAAAGACTAATGAACAACTAATATGTTTCATAATATATCTTAGAGTAAACAATTGCTCCTATTTTCTTTGACCAGTCAATATAGATAGCTTCTTATTCATCCCTCCCAGAATACCAGCTAATTTAGAAGTTATATACTGAATAAAGTCCCATTTGAATTACTTGATGATCAATTGGCATTTATTATTTTTCTATACATAAAAAGTGTTATAATTCAAAGTAACGAAACGATTTCCCTATTCACTATCCATACTACAAAACATATGATCATCAGAATTACATGTTCACCTAACCTCAGTTATGTCCCATCAAAAGCCTCATGAGATGTCGCTGTCTAGGAACACAACTCCTTGATGTATTATTACCAGAGTATCACATTTCCTTTTGTTTCGAACTGAAGAATTAAGTCAGCGATAAATAAGTCCATAGTATTCTCATCATTGTTTATTTCATTAGCCATATTGAGATTTTTTCTTATCAAAAAATGACTTCATGTGATTATTTAAAATTTTCTTGTCTTCAATCTTTTATTGATAGCCAACTCCAATGGAATGGTTATCTGATGAACCTTATCCTTCTCTGTTGTCAATCAATTTAAGTAAATTAATTTGGCCAGGTAATAGTGTTGTAAAACGTCAACAGTTGGTATGTATACAACGTGCTAATGATGGAAAATGTCAAAAAACTGAAAAACGACTGGTACATGCAGCACCGATTAGTTTTAAAAAGAAAACACATTTAAAAGTATGTATTATGTCCGAAGTCTCACTAATGTATTGATTATTATCGAGTGTTTTTTCGTAAAGCTGATTGTACTAATATTTACATATATTTGTTTAATTAACTGGTTAGCATACTCTTTGTAATGTATCACATTAGGTATTCCTTTCAACCCTCATGTCAGTGATCATTTTATAAATAATTCTGAATGAATTCGATCTCAACCTGATGTATGAAATGTTTATATTCCCACCAAAACTATGAAATTCTTAATAGAATATTTTCACTTTATTTCAGATCACGTTGAGAGCAGTACCGACAACTAAACTTGCCAAATTTACCATATATATCATAGTTCCCTATATTTGGTTGTTGAGTATGATTAATTTATTATAATTGTACAGTACTACTGGTACGTAGTCGATGAAGTTCTATGACTCTCAAACTGAGAGACAGTCTTGTGAATGAAAAACCATTGGTTAGTAATTAAAAGTAACATGAAGTACAATTCTTTCTGGGAATTTCAGAAATATCATTATAGAGGTGTTTTTACCTTAAATTATTGATTTTACTAGAATTTTATCGATTTTCTGTCTCAAAATTTTTCTATCAATGGTATTTTTATGTTTAATCATACAGGTTCAGTATAATCAACAAATTTTGTATTTATTTATTTTATATTAGTAGTTTTAATGGAAACCGGTTATATTCATATATTTGCATTTCTTAGTAGATAGATACTATCTTAAAATTTTCGGCAAGAATATCTTGTTTACTATGGTTAGTAAATTAGGAGTTTCTAGTTACATATCCGAATTTGACACTGGAGAGACTTAGTGTCATTTTAAAAGTTATTGTAGATAATATAAATGATACATTTTTGTATTAGTTGTTTGAGTCTTCCCATTGATCTTTAGGACTGCATCTGATATATTAACTCTATTGAAAAAATGAAATTTTTATACGCATTCAATAGTACTTCTTATCCTTGTAGTTACTTTGGCCTTAAACTATTATTATCATAATTATTATAACTATCATTATAGTTCGTATTTGAAAGTACACCCCCTCTCTCTTTAATTGTGTCTCATATCCTGATAATTTTAGTCATATTTATTTCTGTTATCACTACATTTGATTTAGCCCCTCTATTACCTTTGATTGTTGTAACCAAAATATTTTAATCATCTTACTTCATTCACATTATAATCCGTTGCTAAAGTATCACTTTTACAAGGCTCTTTTTATTTTCATATACACAATCTTTTATTGTTATTATTCTCATTACGTAACCCAGTACTACAATCTTTCTATTATATATATAATCGTTTAAAAGGGAATCCTTCTCTAAACCTCGTGATTTAATGTGTGGATGGGAATTAAATGTCAACCATGACATTGAATACGAAATGGTTGAAAACTGTGAACTCATTTTGATAAGTTTCAAAACCACATAATTAAAAAAATTAGATATATCAGTAAATGAGTTGTTGTATTGTAGTATTTTGAACAGTTGAATTCACGAATCGACCTAAGCTAGAACACCATTAAAAACTGTTCGATATCGGTGTTCGCTCGCGAGACCGAATGTTCTGGGTTCGAATCCTTCACGCGGAATCGTAGAAGCACATTGCTGAGCGTCCCATACTAGGACGAAACGACCGTCCGTCGCTTCCAGGTCTTCCAGATTTTCAATGACGGTTTAGCCTAAATCGACTCATGAATTCAACTACTAAGAATTCTTGAGAAATAAAAATAAGCAAACATCGAATCTAGAATCAAATGTTTATTATTATTGATGATTGACTTTATCACATTTTACCATAAATAAGCTTTTTATGTTAAGAATAATGTTTCATCAGTTATAGTATTTAGTGAAAACAAATAAAATTTTTATATGATTTGGTATTTTCAACTTGTACGACATGTCTTATCTAATGTAACATCATTTATTTCTCCAAAAAAGAACACACGAGTGACTGTGAAACATAATTAGATTAATTCATTTTGGTATTGGATGTTTGAATCCAATTTATTCAGTTGTTTGCTCACTTAAAAATGTTCATATATATGTAACATTTATTGATAGGTTTGATATTTTTGGATTTCAATTAACGGTGAGATACAGGACATGCTTTATGTTCTGTTTGGAACTCATCAGTCGATTGTGTCTGAATTGAGATCAACAGCATTTTCCAATGCCAACTCCCTATCGACCTAGCTACCAAGTCGAGATAGCCAGTGATATCCATAATTCAAATATAATAAAACTTGGGTCTGTAAAGTTATATTGAGGCAATATGATCAGTATCCTATGTATACTAATACAAATGAATCAGTTCCAACAGTTAATATCAACAAAGAGAAAACACTACTTCTTAAATATATTAGATGACTCATGTTTTAATCCAGATGAGAACATTAGTTCATACTAATCTCAAAATGAACTTGATAAACAACAGTGACTTAGCAACAAATCTAGATTCAATAGTTTGTATCTATTTTCAAGTTATCATTCCATACAAAAGTATTATAATCAAATGAGTAAAAACTGCGATCTAAATATACCCAATCATCACATAAAATGTATTTCAATCATTGCGGTTGTTTAGTGTTTAATTTTAACTTTTTGACAATGCAAGTAATTTAATTTGGCCAAAGTGTTGCTCGAAATGATTTTTCAAGGTAACCTTAACAATTGTAATATGCTTATAAACAGTATTTTCGTAATGAAAATGTGTATTGTTGATTGCTTTAAAGTACAATATTTCTTCTATTGAAATTGATTTGTTTAATTCTTTTTTCTCTAGGTTGTAACTATTGAAAGTGTACCATTCGTACAAACTCGTCCAAAATTGAATGATAAGTGTAATGAATCTGATGATCCCTTAGTTTTTAAAACTGAAATTGAATGTACTCACACTGACCCGACTACTGGTACGTCAGTTGTTTTTATTTAAAAGATAAAGACCCGTTTATTAATCCTATATACATTTTTGAACAATGATTAAGAATAAATATGTTGGAAATTGTTGTGTTATTGATTAGTTTTTTCACTTTCAGTTAATAAGTGACTGACATTTCATTTGTAACCGTTTTAAATACATTTATTTACCTTGGTAGTTCTAAACAAAGAAAGATGGCAAAACTTTCTGAATAAAATTAATTAATCATTTTACCCTGAAACTTTTTCATCGTCTACTGACAGATTACTCATACTTTATTTAGCGACACTGATATGTATGTTCATAGAGGAACTGAAAATCAAGATATTTGAAGAAAGGTATAAACAGCGATATTTAATAAATACTTAATGTAACTGATTATCCGCTGAGTAGTGACGAATCTCGTTGTGTCTAGTTTTTCAATACTGATCGAATTATATCGATCAAGTTGTAGTGTAATTAATGGTCTTGGTTACACGACATCGTGAACACTATGTTGAGATGTTAGGTGGTCAAAAGTAGTTAACAGAGAACCTAGACCCAGATTTGGTGTTAGTTTAGACTCATTAACAAGGCATTTCTGCAATCACGAAGAGACCTGGTACTCATGTCAGCCAATTTCATGACTTGAGACGTTGCCAATAATGTATTTGTGTCACTAATAATAATAATTACTGGGTAATGAGAACTATTATCGAAGTTACTGTCATTGAGCAATACTGATGTGACCTATTCATATAGAAGGAAATCATGATAAACTACACTTAAAACCAGCAGCGATAACTGTTTTAAAATGATAACGCCGATTGTTGAATTTTAATTTTGGTAGTCTGCTAGACTTTACTTGGTAATTTGGTTTAATAATAACGCTTCCTTGAAATCATGTACCGATCTAAGTTGGACCACCACTGTAAAACCTGAAGGGACTGGACAGTTCTTTCTTCCTAATACAGAATTATTCAGTAGTTCGCACCCACAGCCATGCATGCTGGAGCTAAACTCAGGACTTCCGTTCTTGCGCGCTAATTCTTAATTTTTAGACCACTGAGCCGGCATTCAGAAGTGTTCATTTCTAACTTCAATCAATCTACGACATTACATGACAATCTTCCTTACTAATAATAATCATATTCTTTGATTGTGTAGTTGCTCATTTTTATTGTAGTTATTATACTTAATTATGAATTTTATTCTTCTGGCTCTTGTGACCAACGTTTTAATGTTTACTGGTTATTAGTAAGGTTGCGTAATTTCTTATTTTTGGTGCTAAATACAGTAACTGATCAGTCTATGTTACTATACGTGTATCATGAGCGGGTTGCCTTGATATAACCTCATATGCGCATTGAATAAACATGTGGCTATTTGTAGCTCAGTGGATACTGCATTCATTATTTAGTACCTCTGATCAGTTACGCTCTCATATGCTCGAAAATATCCGTCTAATTGTATTTTCCATTCATCTGAAATTCTGTTGACAATGACAAACTGGTTTATAAACTGAGTATCATAGGAAAAGGCAAAATACATGACATAGAGAGAAAGAACGTGAATATCTGAAATGCTAGTGGCACAGAAAACCGTTTTTTAAAATCGATTTTGACGTGTAATCATATCTTAGGAAGAAGTAATAATTTAATTTAGTAAATGAGTTGAATCTGTTGATTACAAGCGATTAATTTAGTGATATTGTAAATGGGTTTAAACAATGTGTTATTAATTAATATCGAATACTACTCAGTTCAACTTAAGCAGATCTAACTGTTCATCTGACTGCAAAAAAGTTATTACAAAATTCAGTTTGTTCAGATACCATTTTGAAGTATTTCTAGTATTAACTAATCCTTCATCAATCGTCTTTGTGCCTCTACTTGTGCCATCCGAAACATGGTTTCCATTTTGAAGTACTAAGGTTTTCACAGTTACAGCTCTAGATTTTTTATTTCAATTTGCTTGAGCTAATACGCTAATATGTTGATGTGCATCTATAACAAATAAGTAAACAAATACAAGTCTATAGTAAGCTGATAAATATTCTGGAAGTAATAATAGTTAAAACAGCATGAATTAATATTTTAAGTGATCTAGATATTCTTGTTTGTGTGATTATGCAGGTTTGAATCATTAATTTATGGTGAAATTATACTCGTTTACCTTATTTCTCTAAAAAAATTAGTCAATAGCCACTTTGCCTTTCCATTTACGTTTTTACTGTCACTAAGATTTTGAACTCTTGTTCAGTTTATTAAATAATCAACTTACATTGTCAATCTGATCTATTCAGTTCTTTAAAACCTAATCATAATCTCTGATCTAATGCGCTTGTGATCAAAGTATCATTTTTTCCTAATTCTCCTGAAGTACATAAATGGTGTTTAATCAATCAGCACATTTCATAGCATCACTAACATTCTTTATTGATACCATTTACTAAATAACTTAGTTTCAAATAGAGCTAATTCTTGAAGTGAGGTTGAGACTAAACCTGTTACATAATTGCACGTTAGTGTCTAGTTGATGATCCGATTTTCCATAGTTATAGAACTTCGAATTCAGAATAAAAATTATAACTAACTAATGAAGTTAGATATTTTGGATATTCTTAATTCCATTTTACTGTGTTTTTTCAACCTACATTTAATTTCTAAAAAGTTTAATTTAAAAAATGATTTATTTTTTACACAATCATTTTTTGTCAAATATTTCTATCTGTTCATATTTTCTTTTTTATTCATCAATTTATTTTGAAGGCGTCAAGAAACATTATTGCTGTTATGGTTATTGTATTGATCTTCTCCGATTATTGGCTAATAGAACTGGACTAGAATTAACTTCTACACCATTCACATATGATTTACATTTGGTTGGTGATGGACAAATAGGTGATGTTGATGAAAATGAAACACATAAATGGACTGGTATTATTGGTGAAATTTTGTCTGGTACAGCTGATCTAGCTGTTGCACCAGTCTCTATTACACCTGAAAGAGCTGCACGAGTTGAATTCACAAAACCATTCAAATATTTGGGAATAACTATTCTAGTGAAACGAGTAAGTTTTGACCTGTTATTTGGATAATAAGTGTAGAGTTTTGTGGGGATTTTTGAATTTTACGGTCTCCAACACAAACTGATCTCAATTAGACAACCGTTGAGAACCAGGAGTTATTGGATTGTCGTTTCGTCCTTATGTAGGACTCCATATTAGTATGCTTCTATGAACTTATCACGGTCCGGATACAGAAGCGTTAGAAACCAGTGTTTCTTTGTTTTAATGGTTGTCTAGCTACAATCATTCAGTGATGTAAGAAATAACATTTAAACGGATAATTGTAAACCTTAAATTACATGGTTTTTATTTTATGTTATGGTTCAGTGTAGTTTGGAAAATGGCTACTAATCATGATCGGTTCACAAATATTAAAACATTGTACGTTTCACACACATACAATACTAGACCTGAGGTTTATGATTAAGCACGCGTCATGTTCAGTGAACGGATAATGAGATTTGTAGAAATAATTAGTAATTACAAACGGAGATTGGTTGATCCAATTATAAATGAATGTCGAATTTTCACAGTTCTAATTACTTTAGCTGTCAAAGTAGTCGAGAAGGAAAAAACAGACCATCGCTAACTGCTCATAAGACGAATTAAAATTAATGTCACAAGTTTCAGTGTCAAACTGAACTATAAAATCTCCCAAGTTATATGACAAATATGTATTAGTGTAGGGTTATGGCCATTGTTGAGTTTCACTAAAATCATGAACCAATCAGTGTTAGATCACCATTGAAAACATAGGAGCACTGGACGGTCGTTTTGTCTTAGTATGGAACTCCCTAGAAGTGAGTATCCATGACAAATGTTCTGCTAAAGTTAGAGTCAAGGGTGATTTTAGAACTTCTAGTTTGCACCTAATTCAATAAGATACCATATTTGTTTAAAGCATTTTACAATGCAATATATAGTACACAATTTGATGTGCTTTATTTTTCTCATAGGAACGTGCTCGATCCAATCTTGGTTCATTCCTTCAACCTTTTGAAAGTTCACTATGGGTTCTTGTAGCCTTGTCTGTCCATGTTGTCGCTTTTGTATTATATTTGCTCGATCACTTTTCACCATTTGGCCGAACAAGCTCTGATATTGATATGTCTGTCGATGGAAGTGGCAGTCATTCAACTTTACGCCAGTTTGATAATGAAAAACAAACTAATGACAAAAATACACTAACTCTAACTCACCTGCGACAACAACAACAACAAAAAGAAGACGAAGAAGGTATGAATTTAAGTAGTGCAGTGTACTTTGCTTGGGCTGTATTATTGAATTCTGGGATTGGTGAAGGTACTCCACATTCATTTAGTGCTCGTGTTCTTGGAATGGTATGGGCTGGATTCGCTATGATAATAGTAGCTAGTTATACAGCCAATTTAGCTGCGTTTCTTGTTTTGGATAGACCTGAAGCGTCTATTTCTGGAATTGATGACGTTCGAGTAAGTTACTGTTGTGAAGATGCTCTTGATAATGCAAAATTACATCTTATTTGTTTTTTGACTTGTGTAAATGGAACTTAAAGTATTTGGCATTTAAATAAATGTTTCTCAAAATGTATTAACTACTTCATTTTCTTGACGGTTTTCAACTCCGAAGTTTTTCTCTACTTTTTTCACAATTTTGATGATTTTACCATTAAAGTATAAACTACTTTCAGTAAACGTCATTGTCGAATACAGTTGAAGTATAGTATCTCATAAGACAACAGTTAACAGGAGTTTGCAAGATTTTAAACGTCTATCCACAACCATATTCATAGTAACTTCAAAAGTGTCTCTACACACCTTACTAACTGCCTTCAGGACTCTTTGCAATATAGCAAAATCTCTTCTCAAAAGCCTGTGAAAGAATAATGGAGAACAGTAAGTAATGATAGGTAATATGCAAGAACCTACAAATCGTTGGTGTCGAGTAATGCTAAAAGCATATAGCCTCTTTGTATAGTAAAGCAAACGGAAAACTCTCTTCCATATCAATAAAACCTGAGAAGACCAAGAGTGATCAGAGGATAAATTTACACCAATATAAATGACTTTCGATACCATTTTTATTACAAAATCTCCGATAGTACAAACTTTATGTTTATAGGCTGTTCATGTCTCAGGCTAAAATTAACAGTTTGACATTTGGAATTGTGTGAGATCATTAACAACAGACCATGGTTCAGTGAGAGACAAAAACTCATTCATTTCAAGAGGATTTGACGAATCGAAAACTGGTATATATGCTTAACAAAATACTAATTCAATAAAACAAATTATTGGTCAGCCATTCAGGAATTCTAATAGCTCAATTCTTTTTGAAGTATGTAATGATGATGTTGTCTAGAAAAACAACGAAAACTTCACAGTTTAGCCATTCAGCTCAGAAAATATAACACTTCAAAATTTTCATCTTGAGATACAAATATTCTGTGTTATGTAAAAAAAAGCTAATCCCAAGTAACGTTTTCTGTGATTGCATTCTTCCATATTCAATTTGTCGTTGCTATGTCGTAGATTCAGTCGAATTACAAATACAAAACACTCAATGTTATTCTCTTGTATGTATACATTTATTCGTGTCTTGTTTCCAATTTATGAATGCACTCACATAAAAATCCTAAACCTTATACTAAATGATATATTCATCTTTGGTATGAAAATGTTCATCACTGTAAATTTTAGTGGCTACTTAAATGATTTAGAAATTTGAATTTTAAGTGATTTTCCTCAATTTTTTATTTATGTTCCGAGCGTTGGTTCACTTTTACGAGTCATATTGTTATCGTTTATTGATATAAATATTACTAGGGTAATTTACTTGAAGAACACTGGTGAGTTATTCGATTTTTAAGTTAACTATGGTTTACTATGGTATAACTTATAAATATTTGAATATTACTAATAAAGTTCTTCAGTAGATAACATAGTTTGAAAGGAATTATTGTAAAGAACTGATTACAGTATTCAATGATAGTATGTCTAAATAATCGGATCTATTTTTCGTGTTGAAAACGCTGTAATATATGACAATTTCTTAGACTTTGAAACCGGATGACACAGGTTGGAAACACATAGAAAACATTGATTCCCTCAAAATCGTACACATTGTTGATGAGTGTCATATAGCATGAAACCTAGGTCAAACAGGGTCTCCTGAAGACAACGTTCAACCAAGAAACATTGAAATATAGTTTACGCAATGTCTACTCACTTAGACTAGTGACTGAATTGCAACTTGATCTATAGAATTCGATCAACACTAGAGGACTAGACAAGCAAGACAGTGTTTATTATTCAGTAATCAATTTATATGAATAATTATTGTGCAGTATTTTGTCTTCAATGTTCAATAAGTACAGAAGTTTAATCCGATACGGTACAACATTGTGTATATATCTACTCAATTAAATGGATAAATAGCTCTAACAAATATACATAACAAAGTGAGCTGCTTTTTATTTAGCGACTATGCCAATAAATCTTAAATTTTATTCATTAAGTCAAGCGTAATACAACACAGTTAACACTATAAAATTGAAAGCAAAAATTACTGATCGACGTGTAGTCAAACTTATTATCAGTTTTGTGTGCACTGTAACTTACCCGCTTTTGTAAAATAGAAAGAAACGGTATATTACATAATCATAACATTTTCTAGAAGTCAAATTGAATAAAACACAAGTAACTATTTCTGAATGAATAATATTTAGTTTATATTTTATATCAAAGACAGATTTTTAACTAAAGTACAATAATTAACTCATGAGACATTGAATATTAAGATAATAGTAATTCAATTTATTGACTTGTTTTGTTTTTTTTAGCTTCGCAATCCTCAGAAAGATTTTCTATTTGCAACAATTCGTGGTAGTCCTGTAGAAATGTATTTTAAACGACAAGTTGAATTCGCTACAATGTATCGTGTAATGGAAACAAATAATTATGATTCAGTAGAAGAAGCAATTCAAGTAAGTCTAATCAAATTAATTTTCACATGCAAAATGTTTATTTAAAAAAATCAACTTTATAAAACAAATATCAGGGTATTCTTTGCATAAAATAACAACATTGAAGTATGTAGATTCTAGATAATTAACTGTCTTTAGATGTAGAAAGACGAGATGTACTTTGAGCTAGTAAACGCACATGCATTAAGCTAAGAAGAAGACAGTATCAAATTAATAAGCCAAAATCATATTGTAAATATAATTAACTGAACTGGACTTGAATCTACTGACATAGTAAAATTTGTACTAATATCTATTTCATACTTCAAAAGATATCTCTCACAAATGAAGTATTAAGAGAACAAAAGTGGTGTATGGTCAGTTGATTGATCACTGATTTGGTAGTTCTACGTTTGTCTAGTCCTCTAGTGTTGATCGAATTCTATAGATCAAGTTGCAATTCAGTCACTAGTCTAAGTGAGTAGACATTGCGTAAACTATATTTCAATGTTTCTTGGTTGAACGTTGTCTTCAAGAGACCTTGTTTGACCTAGGTTTCATGCTATATGACACTCATCAACAATGTGTACAATCTTGAGGGAATTGATGTTCCCTTTGGGAGTCAAACTCATACTATAAGTTGGTTTTACAAATACACGTTTTGTAATTGGGTACGCGCGTCTGACATTTCGATACCTCTCTTCAACAAAATACATCAAAGTGTTTGTTTGTGTTAATATTGTCGCTATTATCTTTTCTTAACTCTTCTCTATGTAAGGCCATTAAATCTGGTTCACTTAAAGCTTTCATATGGGATTCAGCAAGATTAAATTATGAAGTTTCCATTGATTGTGAATTAATTACTGCTGGTGAGGTATTTGGTCGTAATAGTTATGGCTTAGTAATGAAAAAGAATAATCCGTGGTTATACGAATTATCACAAGCAGTGTTAAATTTTCATGAAAGTAAGTTGTTTATTCGATCAACACTTTGTAAGAGAAATTTTAATTTTACTGATTAGTAACAGTTAACATTAGATTTATATTGTAATCAACATAAGTACTATATAGCGAATTAACATAAGTTAAGAAAACACAGAAACTTACAGTGTATTTGTTAGCTTCTGGGTCTTGGCCAATGTTTACTCAAAATGGATTTACTTGACATTTAATTAGTAATATTTTTCAGATAAATGAATTTTATCGCCATCTATAAACACCGTTATTGACAATGAAGCCTGCTTTTAATCAGTCTCTAATGGTACATTAACTTCACGAGCTAATGACTTGATGGTATCTTTAGCAAGAAGTTAACTATATTTTTGACAGCGTCTACTGATAAATTGCAAATCACGTGATTTAATAAGAATCCTTACAAAAATTAACAAATGTTGTATCCCAGGCTGTAAGTTTTATTTTATTTGACACTCATCCATAAAGCGTATCTGTAATCTTGAAGGAACTTCTGGTTCACATGAAATTCAGATACAATCTACTCAACTTCATATTATAAGATCTGCCTACTGAGCTATTCGATCAGCTTCTGACCTCGATTTTGAACCAAGCTATGTACACTTGAATAATCGATATCATGTTTATTAAGTCGTTTACTTACTCAATGGAATTCTATCAGTACTGAATGACTTGAAAAACTTGACATTTGTCACTAATCAGTGGTCATACATTTTTAAACAACATATATTTGCACTTAAGTAATGAGTTTTAAGCGAAATGAAACACATGCTTTTTGATTTTCAAGTACAATCATGTATGAGAAAACAATTTTGGTGTTTTAAAATTAAAACAATTATTAAACCACATGAAACTTTAACCCAAAATTAGATTACATATTGTTTTTCAATTTTGTGCACGAATCAGTGCGAAAATAAAAATTAATGTTGAATTGGAATATCAATGTGCAGCTGACATTTTTTTCCGAATTAAACATTTACTAAGGTCTGTTCGAATTATAAGCATGTCAGGATTTATTACTATGATGTGCTGCTTATAGAGATAGCTAACAAATATTAGTCTGATGATTTAAATTTACTCACTTATTATAAGTTTGAATACAGATATTTTTAAAGTCTCCATTCCTTTGAGTTACATTTTAACTAATCAATGTACGGTTTATCGTTAGCATCATAGTTGAGTAGCTTACTTTGATGTGAGAATAATATCCATTCAAGCAGACAGTCCACAGAAACGTACGTAAACTCTTTGGAAAATGTCATGGAGTAATAATTTACGGTGTTATCTACCGATAGCTCTTTTGTTATTAAAGTAAAATCCATCTACATTAAAAGTCAAACTGGCTTTTTCCAACTAGTCAACTATTTAAAATTTTTATTATTTACTTGTTTTAAAACTAGTCAGCGATTGGATTTAATTCAATTCCTTACAGTTAACTAAATATGAAAATTCAAGCATCACATACATCAGTATAATAGAATGAGATATTTTATGTTTATGGATAGTAGTTATTTTGATGTCTTTTATCAATGTTGTGTTCTTCGAGATGTATAATCCGACCAGGAAGCTTTCATTAAATGATTTGTACGAAATCAGTGCCCTAAAAGCATCCACTTGGGCATCAAATCTTCAGTATTACTTTTGCATCTTTGTAATCCAGAAAAACTGACTGAATTCTGTCTTTCTTATAACTATACATTATTTGATGATTGATTGAGTTTAACACCAATATTTAGAACTCTTGCTACTGAAATTCAAACTCAAGTTGATGTTTATTTTAAACCATTATGTTTAGAATAAGAAGTTGTCAGTAAGAATTCAAAAATTTTTACGAAAAATTGCGTACAGTTAGATTTATTATCAAATGCTTGGTGTAGTCATTATTATTATGATAAGTTAATAATTATTCAATATTTCTCTTAAAAGAACTCGCTCAAATAATATCATCCAACATTTTTGAGCAAATAACGTTGATGACATCTTATAGTTATTACATTTCTGTTTTAAAAAGACAATTGGATCACTTCTTGGTTTAGTAGATGCGTTAAATCTTATGAATGAGAACAGGTTAGGCTTGTACAATTTTGAAAACTTATCGACTCTAAGAATGCAAAACATGCAATACCGACTCATCGGTGTGAAAATCAAATGTCGGCTGAGAGATATAAATGGTCCGGAATTCAATCCCTGGTCGTGTCGTAGATGAACAGTACTAATAAGATAAAACGGCTATTAGGTTACTCTGGATTTCAATCGGTTGTCTTTCTACGATCATAGCACACTGTCGAGCTACAAAAAGAAACATATTTTGTTTGAGATTCGTGTGTTCGATGTGAATCTGAATCTTTTTCTTCGACTTTTTGTTACCTTCTATTCGTGTTACAGCTTAATTTCATTCTTTGATATTTTCTATGGTAGATTTGTTTTACCAGACTATATTTTTAGTTTTATATTGTAATATCTTGTACCATGTCAAGCCCACATGGGTTATTCTAGCTTCCGGACAAACCAGATTACTCGTTCTCCTTGAGTTACATCTTGACCTTGTGTATGTGTGGCAATTGCTTATCCCACCCATCACGTGTCTGTAGCTTATTTTTGTCAAATTGAGTCACCTTACTCGCCTTTTGAACTTCCTACTTTTTGAGCCTTCCTACTTTTCATTCTGAAAGTCCATCCGGATCAACGAGTGCACGAAATATACATATTCGAAATTTATTTTCCTTTTGACTTATTTTATTCCGTTATTCTCTAAGATGAATTAAGTGGTTAATCGTAAACGAGGGTAGTCCGGATGTGAGTGTTTCTTCAACATCATCGTACAATCAAATTGGAGTCAAATTAAAGGGCTACAAAAATATTAAAAAAACCAATGAGTTGACTTGTCATAAATAAACAAGTAAATATTTTAAAAGTAAATAGTTTTTGTACACTTATTTCAGTGGTAGTTTCAGTAAAGAAAGTATTATATCGCCCGTAAAAAATACAAAAAATATTCCACATCTTTGACAGAACATTTTAATAGCACTTAATACTTGTAATCCGATCCGTTTCTTTTTTGGGAAAATTAAAAAAAATGTTAACTAGGAGGTATAATGGAAACATTGGATACAAAATGGATACATATCAAATCCAATAACTGTGAACGAACTGAATCAAGTCCAGCAACTTTAGGTTTAACCAATATGGCAGGTGTATTTATCATGATTGGTATGGGGTTAGTAGCTGGAGCTATATTGACATTTGTTGAGGTATTGTGTACGAAACGTAAATGTGAACAAAAGAAAAAGCATGAACTATCCACTTCGACAATACAACAATGGCGAGACGCTGTGCAGGTAAACTTTATTGTTATCGTTGTGTTTTCTTGAATATAATCACTAATTTCTGTTTGCATAATCAAGATAATAATGTCATTAATTATAATTTCTTTATATGAATTTGAACAAGACAAGAACAGTTATAATGACCGAAAAATCAACTAATAATTTTATTTCATTTTTTTTGTCAGCTGCAACAGATTGACAATGAGTATGAGCATTGAATGTAATGAATTGATGGAATTGATATATATGTAGAAAAATAATGCACAAGTTGCTTCAAATGAGGACAGAGCTAGTGACATTCATTTAAATCAAAGTTTGTTTTCGTCAAATTCACAGACGGATTTAAATTGGAAAAGCTTTGGAAAGCTTGAAAGAACTGTACGGAGTTTCATCATAATATATGACTTTTCATTAGTGAGCATCCACGACCCCGTAACCACTTAACCTCTAGACCGCTGAGTCAAGACCCACTGGTGTAAAGGTTTAACTTCAATCAGTCAACAATATTGCACGATAAACTCCCATCGTTTTCAGTGGGTATCTCTCTCACAGACGACACGGTTCCTCACTTAAAATCCTGAACTTTCCTGTTGAAGCCAGTCACTACTCATTTGGAGGTTGAGAATTCGCTCGCGAAACCAAAGATTTGAGGTTCAGTTTCTGCTTACGGGTAGTAGATGCTCACTGCTGAGGAGTTCCATACCAGGACGAGACGGACGTCTAGGGCTTACATGTTTTCAGCAATGATCATTGGTCAGTGCGTGATTTTAATGCAATTCAACAATCTCCACGACCTCAAATTTATTTTGATTTATTACTTTTGTTGCTATCATTCTTGTTCTCATTTTTATCCCCATCCATAAGTAATCATCTGTGTTTTCTTCCACATCCACACATAGAAGCGTCAAAATGAAAGATATTTCCTGAACACTATGGATAAACGAATGCAATTATGTCACAATACAGAAGTATCCTTTGATGATGTCATTCACCACTCAGTTGCTGTTGATAAAAATAATTTAGAGTCATCTGCTATTTATTCTACTAATATGAAAATTAAACGATCAAATAATCCCAAACCTAATCTTTCAATGAATATGAAAGAAGAATATTCATTTATAGAAGATGATTTATTGTTCACCAAAGGTCGAATAACTCGTAAGCGTAAAGCTAGTGATTATAGCTGTGATGATGATGGTGAAAATGATGCGTTAGACAGTTCACTATCTTTTGCCATGCAAACCTCGAAAAATAATTTGAAACAAATAGGCGAAAAGTATTGTGTTACTACTTATCGTTGCGATCAAGTTAATAATTATGCGAATAATGGTAAAATTGAGCTGGGACAAGAGAAAGATCAGGTAGGACAGGAGGGTTATGAAGAAGAAGAGTTTAGTGAACTTATTCATCGATCTGATACTTTTACTGCTAATAATAATATGAACAATATCAATCATTACCAAAAGTCGAATATTATTTCAGCTGTTTAACACTTTTCAGGGCAAAATAGATATAATTATAAAAAAGTCAATTATTTGGATTCATGAATTATTCTTCGCATAAACGTATTATCATACCTTTAAATAGAACTGTTGTTATTATTACATTGCAATAACCCATTCTCAAGAGTTTCATGCACACTGGTCTGTTTCAATGATCGCTCTACATTAAAACTTATTCAGTGTTGTTTTGTTTTAATTTTATGTTACTTTTAGAGTACACTCTTCAGATTATATATAAAACATATTTAAAAATATTGTTTATCTGTGTTAACGTAGTTGATTTTAAATACTATGATTATATCTGTGTTCAATAATAATGTAGAGTGTTTGCCTAAAAAAAACCATATTGCCTATTTTCATTCCTCTTCCGTTTGTCTCTCTATTGAAAAACTATGCTTTGTTTTATTGGATATTTTAAGAGAAATATATATTCATGTATTTTAATTTGACATTTCAATTTCATAGACCTTTGATTTTTTTTATTTTGCTTCTTTACTACTTATAAAGATTAATATGAAATGACAAAGTTTGATCTCGCCAGTTTATATGTGATTTTTTTCGTTTTCTTAAAATAACTTAATTAACTTGCTTCCAAATTCATTCAATGTTCTTTTCACTTAACTGCGTCGTATTGTTTTTATTGTTTAGTTTAATGACATAACTGTTTTTTCGTAGATAAATGACTTCATGTCAGCTGTTTATTTTGTCTGGACATTGTCATATGTCTTTTGAAGGGAAGAAAAAAGTTCATCATTTCCAGTATAAAAGTTGAGATTTTATTTTATTTTAGATCACGAGTAAGGTACAGAGTGAAGAATATAGGAGTTAGTAGTAAAATAGTGCAAATTGATTGTAGTTAGATTTGTATACTGCTGAATCCCAGATCATTTGTCTAGAGGTGAAGCATTCTGTTGCAAGACAGGTTTTTAGTTTGATCACAAGTGGTGGCATCGCGAAATTTTACTGTAGAAGAGTCCCACATTAGAACGAAATAGCTATCTAGTGGTTTCAGGTTAACCATGACTTCCTAACCTAGATCGGTTTATTAACTCTATAAAGCTTTTTATTTGTTGGTCATTTAAAATGTGATTATTCGCATACATGTGTTTGTTTTAATTGATTTTGAATCGACGGCATCAAATTTTACTAAACATTGATTATTAATTATCACTACAAGTTGTTCTTTGCTCTGAGTTTTAATTTGAAATTAGTCACCTATATGTACAAACGAACTTACCTTTTAAGTAATATTAGACGACAATCGGTTACATAGCCTTCAATCGAATGTGAAGCTACACTTATGAAATTGAATCGATAACACTTAAGTTTAATTTGTATTACAACTTACAGTCAGTAATGATAAAATTAGAGTAAAAGTGTCATGTTTTGCCAACGGTTTGTTGGGGGCCTTGAAATTCAGTTTTCAGCATTTCAGTCTTGAAACCACAAAAATCATGACTGCACGTTGTTTTAGAGCTAAGGAACAGTACTATAGAAATTTAGCAGCATCTCACAAAGTAACGTCTCTAGTCATGCACACCATGACACGGGATCACATCCCATGGGAGTCGTTAGTTCTTTCTGTATTTCAGTTGTTATATTCTGACGAGTGCCAGTTGTCACGAAATTCAGATTAGTAGCTTCATGTTGATTACTTGAAATAGTTACACGTCCAACAGAAGTGTCCTTATGTGATTTGCGCTACATTACCCCGACAACAGATAGATCAATACATCATGAGGCTAAATTTTTAATATTAATTCTGAATTTTTACATACAGTTCGTAAATATACTCTATATTCTCATATGAAAGCAAACATTTACCCTATTACTTTGGACTTCACTACATTTTGATAATCATAAAGTGATGGATACCAATTTTTCCTGAAAATCAAATGGTCAGTAAACATTAAATTGTCATCATGCAATATAGTGTTCGATGATCAACTCACTTCTTTCGTTAAGTAACTATATCACTTCCTCATCGAACGTTCCCAGTTACATTAAGCATATTATTATTTGTTTATCACGGACAGATATCAAATGAAAAATCTATGAACATCAAGATGAACTCAACAGTCGTTCCGTTCCAAATTTAAGGACTTTACAAGAGTGTACATCTAGAATTTCATACATAGTAATATCAGTTTATAAAGATAACCATTTATTCAAGCTGAACAGTTTGCTTCAAAAACCTATAGGTATATAATACTGTCATTCTTACCAATGATTCAGTTTGAGATAGATCTCTTGAGGCTCTAATATGAAGTCTTTGCTATCAAAATATTCCTTTTTGAAATAAAATAGTTATTACAGATGACATCATAGGGTTTTCATACTTTAATGAATAACTGATTGAAGAGAGAAATACAGATCATTTTAATATGAATCAACTACTTACCGCAAGATCTAAAGGTTAGGTATTCGATCATATTCATTATTGAGTTATAATTGTGCAAATTTGTCGTGTAATATAAAGATCAACAATAAAAAATACCCATACCTAAAAAATAAAATACCAAGTATCAGTACATTGCTTATCAATTTAAATGATGGTTTTATAATACAGAAATAAAAGAAATTGTATATTCGAAAAGCATGCTACTTCTATTTGTCATTATAATTAGATTTTTTACAAGGTGAAATCAAATTTCCTTACCTTAAAGTCATAATTTCTTGGTTTGTACACTGATATTTGTCTGAATGATTTCATCTTCATACAATAATTAGTCAAATTCACGTTCATTATGTGAAACATCTTCACGAAAAAAAAACTATAATAGTCTAAGCACGATATTTTAATGTAATGGCTTTGGTTTTTAACAATCAGTGGTAGCTATCTTAAAATACTGGGTTATATTGTCTTGTTTAATTGGTATTGCTCATTATAAAGTCTATAAATATTTACAATAAAATTAAAAAAACTGTCTCATGAACGTTTATAGCTTTCAACCTACTTATTCAGTCAGTTGACACTACGCTTCGTAAAGTTTCACACATCTGTAGTAAATTTCAATTCGTTTTTTATAGATAAACAAATAATATGAGACTTTTCAATAAGATTTTCACTACCAAACGTCTTTGCCTGAAGAAGAAGAATCGCAAGTTGATGTAATATTAATTTTGGTAAGGCACCCTTCATCAAACACATTTAGGGCTAAATATCTATCTACAGCATCATGATTTTTCAGAGATTCTTAAACTGATATCAGTTGGCGAGAAAATGTGATTTTCAAATAGAATAACTATCATATATCTTAAGACGATCAATTCTCATAATTGATTGATCACTAGGTGGTGATCAATGTCGTGTGTGCCAATTCCTTATTAGTGCAGATCGAATGCTATCGACCGAGCTGTAATGTGGCCACTAGTCTAGGTGATTCGACATTGCACGCACTTTGTTCAGATAGCATTCGATCTGCACTAAGAAGGACTTGACACACATAACATTGACCACCACCCAGTGATTAATCAATTGTGACTACATCTCAGTCCTACAGGAAGTCGGTCACGGCACGGAAAGCCCAGTGGCAACATCTCTGACTGTGAAGCTGGGTGACACTGGATCAAATCCGTCAGGGAGTCAATTGCAGCTAGATCATCATGGAAAACCTGGAAGCACTGTCGTCAATTTTAGGCAAGCTAAATGAACATGTAATGTATTTTTTTAAAAGTGATATCGTTTCAACCTACATAACTAGTTTTACCAAAAGTAATCTAACAGTCTACCATACTTGACAGTTGATTAATTACACCTGAGAGTATATTCAAAAATATTTTTTAAATTGTAAATCATTAAAAAAAAGATGGTTATCATTTATTCTAGCAAAACTGCTAGTCATTATTAGCTCATAATTTCTCTTTTGTAAAATCGATTATCATAATTATTTATTTTGATATGAGAAGTAGATAAGTGATGAAAATACTGAAGAGAATTTTATCGATTAGTGATTTTTGTTATGCATTTCAAAATAAAATTGACTTTACTTGAAGACAAAGTTTTTTGCCCGACTTACTATATGACGTGGTTGTACGTTTTAGGCATTATTCGATATATAATTCTATAAATCCTTGTCTACTAACTACTATCCTTTACTGTTCCTCATTATTATTACCTGGGCCTTTAAGAAAGGATTTTGTTGAGGTTCAGAGAAGACTGAAGACACCTAGTAGAGCATATAGTAAATACTATAATACAATTAGAAATATGGCAGCAAAGAGATGTTTGAAATCTTGCAAAAAACGGCTAGGTGATATTTTATCAGATACAAGCCACTAATTCCATTCGTGTATTTACCCGTGTATGTCTGACAGAACAAAATGCAGATATATTAGGCTACATTTAGACAAAATAAAGTACAAAAGCTTAACAGCACTGTATCTAGCCTATATACTATGCAAGAAACAGTCTGTGTGAATCAAGTAATTCAAAACCTATACCTATGAACCTATTTTTGATTCAATGTTCTATAGATTCGTACTAAAAATGTTTTGTGAAATTTTATTTACAAGTATATATGGGGTTTGTAACTAATAAATATTAAATGGCATTTTGTTCCTACTGATATGACGTTTAAGTAGTCTATATCTATTCGACAATTTTTCCACCAACTCTCAGGTGATCATACTGATGGAAGGTGTATAATGAACTTAACAGAGACTGTAATAATTTTAAGCAATGTATATTTTAGGAGAATGTTACATGAAAATTCATCGCACATATACGGTGCTCCCTTGTACCAATATTTATGTGTTCAAATAAAAATATAATAAACATTCAACAACGATTTTCAACATTCTGAATTGAAGTAACTACTTATTTTTAATATCATGAAGCCAATCAATATATTAGTCATTTTTATTTAAAAAATTCACGAGTGGATAATGTTGGCTAAAACATATGTTTGCTTAGAAATAATGAACTAAATGTTGATATTTAATAAACACAACTAGACAGTGGCTAGCAATGGAATTCAGAACGCACTTTTCCTCCCATTGGATAGCTAGTTCTATTCATTTTAACAAGAGTATGACGCCTTATTGGAAAACAAAACTAATAAACATAAGATACTTTCTATATTTATGAGTGATATTTACCCCTTAGATAAAACTTTAGAAGAACAGACCAAGTTCAAATATTTTGAGAATCCAACTGAATGAATTTTTTCAAATAAGATATCAATGAAAATAAACACTTTAGAGTACTAAAAAATTTACTTAAAGTTTAAAATACTGAACTATCCGATGTTACATCAATCAATGATATACTGATATTATATTACTGAGCTACAGTTTAGTGCTGTAGTACACATGTGTTATTTATGTTATGCACTATACAGAATAGCTGACTTATTTCACACTGTAACTATATATTTCCCATCAATATCACTGAATGATAGTACCACTACATTGCTTGAGATTATCAGATAGAATACATATCAACCTAACTTTCCGAAAAAATATTTTATTGTAATACAAAGAGCGTTTTTACGATGTCCACCAAAATTTCTAAAGCCATTGTCTGAGCATAGTTGATATCAGAAAGCTATCCCCTTTTTATTCAGTGCACATAATTCATTTGAATAACATATAAATTATCATTGAAAATAAAAAAAATGAAGTTTTTGCTAGTATTTAAATGCAAACAACTATAATGTTCAACAACTTAATGATACTTCAATGATCCTATTTCGTTAAAATACAACCAATAATAAAATTTGAAAGACTTTTTTAAGTAAAATTTTCAATGCAACATAAATGACATTTAAAACAACACAATCTGAATTACTTTTTATTGAGCAAAAAGGTGTTTAAGAGATGAGAAACAATATATTGTATATATTACGTAAAAACTGGTAAACTTTAATTAAAACCATCAAAATAGACTTTTTTCCACTAATTAGAAAAGTTTTCAATGAAAATTTGTGGCTTCATCTATACTGACAAATTTACAATTGAATGGATTGTAGCTGAAAACATTTGTAACCGTTATTGATTGTACAATTCTCAATTATCTTCATAGTATATGTATATTTACTGTTTAATATGTAGTTTACATTACGAATTGAATTTAATTAGAGACAATCAGTTAAG